AAATCCGATCGTTATGCATGATTGTGCAAGGGAGCGAACACTAAAGAGTGTGATCCCCTGAAGGAATGATGTGATTGGTTCTTGAACGAGTGAATGCTGGTCTTTGTTTGTCTCTATTTGTTGTTGTTGTTCCTTGTTTTTTGTTTTTTTTTTTACCTTCTTCTTCTCTATTATAATTACGATTTGAAATAGAAAGAAAATAGGCGTTTATTTTTTGTTTGTACTGTAGTTGTTCGTCGATGTCCCGTACACAATTTGTGTTACGGTCGGTACGAACTAACTGCAAATAATCGACGGGTTTTTTCGCCCGCGAAAAAAAAAAAGTCAACCTTCCAGCGCATACGAGGATCCATCGATTGAAATGACATGGTGAGATTAACCATCGTACATCGAAGGATCGATGGCTTGCATTATAGCGAACTGTGTGTATCGCTTCCTTTGTAACCTCTCCAACCTCACCCTACCCAAACTTGTCAAACATAATCTAGATGAAAAAGATCAGATCGGGATCTTCCTAAGTGAGATGTATCGTATCGTTTAATCTTAAATCCATATATCGTACGTTTACACCTTTATCGATTAGTTTGATCGGAGGAAATACCATTTTCGCCGTAAACCATTTAATATTGTTTTGATGGAACATAATAAATAACATTGTTTCGGTGAAACGTTAAGGTGGTTGAGAGAAAAAATTATTTTTTTTTTGTCGTGTGTGTAATGTTGTCGATGTTCCTGTGACACTCTTGGGACTATGGAGAAATTCCTAATTTGGGTAAGAACGAAAAAGCCTTGGGATCTTTTTTCATTGATCGTTACGCATGCTTTTTCTCGACCATCAATGAGGATTGGCAGCAAAAAAACAACACTTTGCTTTAAACAATTTAATGCCGCGAGTTGCGCTGTGACTCCGACTTAACCCTCACGAGACGACCAAGCTCAATCTAGATTAGCCCTGAAAATCCTCTCTGAACAAATAATCTCTATTGCATTGCGTATTTATTGTGTATGCGTGGTGCTCTCTCATTTTATACCCCATGGTGACAATTGATCGTATCACTCACTCACTTATAATACTGTATATGTCGGTAATCTATTCTATTGTTGTGCTGTGTCAAATGTACATATGAAAGGGTACAATATAGATAATATAGATTCGTCGGGTTTCTGACTCTGAAAATTCAATTCTCATTCTAATAAATAAACTTCCTCGAAAAATCTTGAACATCTTGATTGTGTGCTGATGCATAATAAAGGATGGACACAAAAAATTTTACATATTATTATTACTTACGCTCACCTACACATCGCACCGACTTTTTAAGTATAGCTTATGTAATTTAAACATAAATTAATAAATTAATTTAAAGTATGTATATCCCGTATATCAGATTTTGGCATCTGATATATTTAATCACCGATTATATATTTACTGCCAAGTGCCGAAACATCATCGGAAATCCGCATATAAATACCTACTACCTCTTCAGATTTGTCTTAAGTTAGCACGAAAAACAAGCCAAGGCATTTTTTCTTGGAATAATTTTATCGCAAGAAGAACGAAAGAAAGAACGAAAGAAAGAAAATTGCAAATATACACTACATCTCACGCAATGGACGCTTGTTCATTACCACCTTTTTACCAATTTTCGCCAAGGAAACTTGCCGAATTTTCTCCGGACTCTTCCTTTGCACACACCCGCGGTTTATCATCGCCATCGTAAGTACATATGTGGTGTTCAACGTTTCTCCTTGTTGTGCCCGTCAATTAACGGCCATTGCTTCAAATTTACAAAAAGAATTGTAGAACATTCGAACGAGAAAAGGGAACACCTTCCACCGCTGAATTCCATTCTACATTCGACTCTATCCGAATTGCAAGGTGCACGCGTGTCACCTCCAATATCTATACCGAAGCTGCAACACGCTCCAATGAATCATGCATCGGCCACCTCAAGCACACAATATCATGAACGAGTGCAGGCTCACAACGATGATCATTGTGCAAATTCCTCTTATCCATCAATTTCCCAAGAACTGGAAAATAATAGTCAAAGTCCAAATGATGACAACATAAAACATCGACCTATACCGAGTCAACCTAATGTTCACAGTCTATCGCTATCACAGTCTTCCCATCCACCAATATGGTCACGAGCCGGTTCTCCCAATTTATTGATAGAACAAATTCAACCTTACCAACGGTCCTTACCATCTCACCCTTATGAGATTAATGATTCCATCCAACACGCAAACATTGCTCCCGGTTACCATTATCGGAACCTAGATAATGTAACATCTTCCCACGTGCAAGTCGCCGAACAGTCGTTAGAAAAAATGTCAAAGGTATTGTTATGTTGTCAGAGTGTATCCAATACTTTTTACGAATCTAATCTTTTTTAATGGTTAAAAACAGGTGATCGACTGTTGTAATCGGATTTCTCAACCCATGTCCCAATGTCGTAATGCGCGAACACTTTTAAATTCATGGTTAACTACACCTCAGGTTAGCGAGGCGCAGCTGACGGACATGATAAGTCTAGCCCATGAAGTGTTAGACATTTTAAACGGCCTAAAGGGAGAATTGATTTCAAAGAATTCCACAGAGGTATTTACTGTCTCATAAGCTAATTGAATCATCTAACCCCTGTCTCATCGAATTATTGCACACACGCTAACCTACACAGAGCATCCTAAACAATGATGATTTTGATTTTGCGCGAAAAACACGCACACAACGCATGAAATACAGAAAGAGAAGCGTGAGTGTTCATGTAATGTTACGGATTATTGTTATCCTTACAACTTTCTTATGCCATTAACTTTTGTTAGAAGCGAGCCGCTCCACCAGGTAGATGCCACTCATGTAATATATCCGAGACGCCGGAATGGCGACGCGGTCCAGATGGTGCCAGAACATTGTGTAATGCGTGTGGTCTTCGTATGTGTATTACTTGATTTAAATTTGGCATTTCGAAAGT